ACAACAAATCAAACATACCGTATCGTGAAACTGTTGGATCACTTATGTACTTAATGATTTGTACCAGACCAGACATTGCTTATATTGTTTGAGTTTTAAGCAGATATCTTGAAAAACTCTCAGAAACACATTGGCAAGGAGTGAAGAGGATTCTGAAATATTTGAAAGGTACAGTTGATTATGGCATTCATTTTAAAATGCATTCAGAGCACATACAGTTATCAATGTACTCTGATGCTGATTGGGGCGGCGACAAGGATACTAGGCGCAGTATTTCTGGTTGGGCTGCATTCTTAAATGGTGGAGCAATTGCTTGGAGCTCACGCAAACAAACAATTACTGCTACATCAACTACGGAAGCAGAATTTGTGGCACTTTGTGCAGCTACTAAGGCAGCGAATTGGCTTAGGCAGCTTTTGTGTGATTGTGGGTATGAACAGCGTTCACCAACAATTGTTTTTTCAGACAATCAACGTGCGATTACACTGGTCAAAAATCCCCAGTCTTCGAAACGAACGAAACATATTGACATTCAATATTTCTACACTTGTGACATGCAGGATCAAGGTAAAGTTGATGTGCAGTACAAGGAGACGAATGAACAGTTAGCAGATGTATTTACAAAACCTTTAAGTAAAGAAAAATTTTTGTATCTTATCAATAATTTTGTTAATATCTAAGTAAAAATTTAATTTCTAAAAGCGAGAGGGAGTGTTGAAAATATTCGCTTTTAACATTGTGGCAACACTTATTGTTGTACATTTCTTATTTTATCATTTTACTTTTGTTTTGCGTTTTTTCTCTTGCGTTTTTAAATCTCATGGAGTGAGCACGTTTTTCTTTTTTCTAAAATCTGAATTGGAGTAATAAAATACTAATATTAAATGAATGCACGTTTTTTATTTCATAAATCTAAGTTACAATAATCAAATTTCAACAATAATTAATTGAAATTATAAACATCAGGAAGAAGTTCAAATAATATAAATATATATATTGTTTAATATATGTGAACAAAAAAAAATTTTTTTTTAATATAAGTGTATATTGAGAGCGGCAACTAAAAATTGTTTTTACCAATAACAAACGAAAATAATAATCATATTACTAATTACCACAGTGTTTTTTATATTATTTCACATCTGAAACACAACATATTTTTGGCGCAGCCGTCGATCTTGATAAAAAAACCTATAACATTATTGGCGCAGCCGTTCTTTGTCAAAACATATAACATTATTATAAAAACCATAACGTTATTGGTTTCGACCAGTGGTTTTCCATAAAAAATCATAATACCGCAAAGTCTAAACATAAATCCCATAGAACATCATTTGGAGTCCAAATTAAAAAAACACAGATTTTCAAACAAGCAACACATGCTACAGATTCTAATGGACGAATGCACTAATATAGATCTAACTATGACAGTAAAATTACTCCAATCAATGTCAAAGATATTAAAAGAGGTAATAAAATGTAAACGACATATAACGAAATATTAAATTGTAGTTATTAGTACCAAAACTGAAGTCTGTTGCATAGAATACTTTTTTTGCTTTATATTTTGGTGCTCCGCAATAACATGGGTTTTTTTGTTATTCTATTTTTAAATTTTTTTTTAATTTTTTTGTTTTATTTTGTCGTTGCAACATTTTACAAATATTTAATGACGAATACTTTTTTGACCGTTTTAGATATGTTTTATTAGAGATAGTTGATTTTTGTTCATAAAACAAGTAAAATACAAAAAAATAACTTTTTGAAATTTCTTTCATATAATACAATAGGCGCTTTCGGCAGCTTTTACGTGTGGCAAAAAAAAGCGAGTTGCTTGCTCAAAGTTGCTGAAATGTACTCAAAACTACACTACCTTCTAAGCACCTAGTTGTGAAGTGGCCAACCATTTAGGCAACTACAGAAAAAAATGTTACCAAGGCAATAAGTGAATTATTGTGAGCATTCATTCGTACTTTCAACGAATATTTCAATCATGTCAAAAGATTGTAAAAAAAAATTCAACAATTAAAAAGTTTCACAAATGTTGAAAATGAAATATTTTAAAAATATGCAAAATTGTAATTTTAAAACTATGTATACAAACATTTTTAGGAGTATGTGAAGAAAGTATAATTGAAAGCAGTTTAAAATTTTCAACTTATTAGTTACTAACAATTATATACTTATTGAGGCATAAATATTCTAAATTATTATTAATTTTGTTTTTGCTTTTAGCTCATTATATATTTTAATTATAGTATTATTAATTATTTTTACACAAAATGTAATTTGCTTGCATTATGCAAGACTTGCTGTTTGTATAACATAACATTTGACAGATTGCTAATAACAGTGATGCCAATATCCTCACTTGGCGCTCATAGTAAGCAACTTGCTGTTTTTTTGCCACACTTAAATACTGCCGAAAGCACCTAATATAAAATAGTAAAAAATTTTAAAGAATTTCTGTACATTATATATGTAACAGGTTGGCATCACTATAATCATGACAGGTAGCAATAGTGACAGAAGAGAAGCGAAGCAGTTGTTGACAATTGGTGTAAGGAGTCGGTCGGAGAGTGTATTGCGATAAGCGTTGAACATTTAACAAGCAATAATCACTGAACATTTAACAAACAATATTCACTTAGCATTTAATAAATAATATTTAGAACTTAATAATAAGCGTATTAATATTATTTCTTACATATATAACGTTTAAATTATTGCATATGAATATATAAACGATACTTATACAAACTGAAAGGTACAAATTTGTCTTCTTTATAAGTTACGTATCAAATCTTGTATGAAAAATCGTTTACACAATTTTGACGTAAATTTTACCGAATAAATTCATCGAATAAGTTTATCAGTTGTCAACACAGAGTTGCATTTCAACATAAGCAACTCAACAAAAATATCTTTCGGTATTTTATTTAAGTATTAGAAATGAAATATTTAACTAAGTGCGTTTATATAAAAGTGTACGTAAACGCATAAAATTATACTTTTGATAAATTTATATGCTTAGATACACAAATTTTCTTCCAGAGTTGTAAAAAAAACAGCATTTAGTCTGGTTGAAACAAATTGCCATTTTTAAAATATGTTAAAAGCTTATTTTTGACATATGTTTTTTCTGTGTTATGTACATTAGGCCTTTTCTTTTGTAAGCATGTCGCAAAAGAACAAATCATATAAGCACCACTTTTCATGGCAACTCTGTTCAAAATGGAGATTTTGTTAGGCTTGTATGTGCAATAAAGTGAAATTTTGAAAATTAATAATTCTTTGCAATTATTGATAAGAATATTTTTTTTACATGATTATGAATATAATTTTTCGTGCCTTTTAACAGCAAAATAATACATAGAAAAAATAACGTATTTGTTACGAACAATGACGACACGTAATACGAATAATTAATGAAATCATTGGTTGACAGATAACTGGACATTTCATATGTACTTCCAAAAATCGTTCACAATAGACGAATTTTTAGTGTTAGCAACTAAGTGATTTAAGCTGCTTATTAGTTAAACAATTTCAAAAAGGTTGGACTTATGGTAGCATTACATAAAACGACTAAAACGTAAAGCACTGTGGCAGCATAATTAAAAAGGAGAAAAACACAAAACGACGCTTTAGATATTTTTTGGACAACGCTCTTTCGACATACTTGGCTTGCATTTCCGTAGTTGCATAAACAAAAGTATTGGCGGTAAAAATTATCAACGAAGTCATTGAAATAAATCTGTTTAAGAGTTAATTAATAGACAAAGCAAAATCGAACACACATAGTGCAGTTCAAAGCAGTTCAGAAGTCAATTCAGAGCAGTGTTCAGCATACGTTGCGCAGCAACATTATATAAGCGAAATTAATGGTTTAAAATTTTGTACATAATTAATAAATAATAAATAACATTTCCATTAAAGATTAAATAAGCGAGCATTCTTGTTGTTTCATATGTTATTTTTAAAATAAGCAGTTGCTCTTTTGTAATAGCTTACAAAATACAAGGCATAACATAAAACATAAGAATTGTATAAACATTATAAATTAATTAATTTAACTAAAACAAAACAAAATAAATATTAGAACGGCAATGGTTAGCACTTTTATCTTATATTTATATTTATTTATGTATTTGAATTTTTTATTAAATGAAATGCTCATATGTATTTTGCGGATGATTGGAATTTCGCAACATATTTCCAGTGAACATTCACAATAGACTGATTTTTGAATTTGACTGCATTGAATCTGAAAACGCTAAACTTAACTTAATAGTTATCTAGTTTTGCAAAAACGATTTTTTTTTGAAATGCCTTATGGACGGTTACTTAAATGATTATAGTTATTTTATTTAAAAAAAAATTTTAATTTTAAGAATTGTATAAATATATTAAGCAAAACAAATTTTCTGCATTAGTTTGAAAAAAATATAGGTACTATATATAGGTACTTTTAATTTTAATTCAGTTGTTTGGTGATATAAAAAAGAAGTAGAAATTTTGCTGATAATTAAGTAAATGTAATGTTAAGAAATATTTACGAGTATTTACTTTACGAAATATATACTCGAATACGGAACAAAATAGGTTAATCAAATTTTATGAAATCGATTCGGATTTTTAAATTACAATAAAAAATTGAACAAAATCACAGTAAAATGATAGAAACGGAACGAATCATATTTACCACACTTTCTGTGTTATATAAACATTTTTCATTAACATTTAATTGATCAATTTACTTTTAATTATTTAAATGTAAATCAGTGATTTTAAGACATATATCAAAACATAACAGTTATTTTAAAATGTTCAATATTTTGTAAATATTTGTTTATGTTTATAATCATTTTATCAACAATAAAAAAATTTTCAGAATAAACAAATTATAGTTAAATTAAATTAAATCAGATCTTGTATACATTTCATATAAATCATATTTTATAAAATATAAATAAAAGCAATTGTATATAACAATATACAATTGCTTTTGGCTTCATATGCATCCACATTAAACTTTTGATTTCTCACATTATTAGTTTGCTACTCTTTTGCTGTTGACACTTGACCGGCTTTACCACTTACATTCAATAGTCAACCATAAGGACTATTTTGTCATCAGAATTCGAGAATGTGAAAAAATAAAGTGAAGAGTTAAACACAATAATATTATCTGCTACAGTACACAAGTTTTCAGAATACATCTCTATAACACCTATTTTATATACCGACGCCTATATTGATGCTACAACAAAAAAATTTACAGAAACATAGAAAATGCAAACTGAATCTTCAACCAACATATTTTTGAACGCGGCTTCGGCAATATTTCTGTGCTTCGATTTAAATAAACTGTAAAGTTCAACCGGCTGCCATGGCATGTTAACCATCGTGCTAACATTAAATCGTTATGTATAAATACCAATGAGTGCCTTAACTGCAGTTGTACTTCTTCAAATTACTGTTTTCTTTCTTACACTGACTTCAGTACTACTGACTCCCGGCTTCTTCCCTTTGAATTGTCTAAATTATTTCAATTAGACCCAGACTAATTTAAATTGCATCCATCTACATTCCTCCCTTATAACATATTTCTTCTTATCAATCTACATAAGTCCACATCCATATTAACCAAAATATTCATCTTTATGGTCAACAACAATTACGAGAACAGCAAAAGCAAGAGGGTTTCACAGAATATTACTATCATCATTTCGCGCTCTGTCAGAAGTGAAATACTTCAAAATACTCTTACATCATTTCCTAAAACAAATCAAACATTTTAAATGTTAGATAATGAAGTGGACGCATGCGGTTTTGACGTCATAAAATAATGAATAAGTTGAAATAATAACATGGTAGTATAAAAAATTATTCAAATTTGGCTTGCTGCAATCACAAATTTTGTATAAACCTTACGCTTGCATATAATCAATTATATATCAGTACATCGCTGTATTGAAAAACTATATCAATAAATAATATCTGCAAAAATTAATTTGTAAATACAAATAGTGTACCTGTCCGTCATACATATCCTCATCGATACGCTGCACAATTATTCGTTGTTCAGCTAGTTCATCGTTTATCCAATCAATAAGAACTTGTTTCAATTTAACAACATCGGGATCATTAAGAGACTGAGGATCTATAACAGCTCTTTGTTCAAGATCCCCTTTAATATGAAAATTATATAATTAAACACACTTTTATTACGTAAAGTTACTTACGCAGTTCATAGTCTTCTGGCGGAATATCATACTGGTTAGGAGACCCAGGAGAATCAATTGCATATTTTCCTTCATCTTGAATTTTTTGCACTAAACACCAAAAAAAAATTAAATATATTATTCGACAGAAATGTAAGAATCTGAGTATAAGTATGAGCAATATATACATACACATGTAAATCCAAACCTTTTAGATATTTTTATTGCTTTTTATAATTTCGAAAATACGTATTTTCGAAGGAACATATGTACAGCGGTCAAAAAAGTATTGGTTATTAACTAAATTTTTATAAAATGCTATAATAACAACAAAATGGAACACAAAAATTAAAAAAAAATAATGCAGTTTTCAACGTTTGTATTGTGTTTATTTGTTGTAATTGTATTTACTCCAAAAATTTAAATAACAAAAAAAACAATTATATTGCGAAACACTAAAATTAAAGCAATTAAAGTATTCGTCATTCATGCAACAGATTGTAATTTTAGTAACAATAACTAAAATTTAATATTTTGTTAAACGTTCTTTACGTTTTAGTACCTCTTTTAAACGCTTTGGCATTGATTGGACTAATTTTGCTATCATAGCTGGATCTATATTAGCCCATTTTTCCATTTAAACCTATTGCATCAATTGCTTGTTTGAAAAGCTGCGTTTTCTTAATTTGGACTCCAAATGAACCCAAAGATGTTGTATGGGGTTTAAGTCTGGACTTTGCGGAGATGTTTTTATCCCTTTTCTGCAGTTCTATAATAACCAAAGCTTAGTGTTTAACGCAGAATGCTCTGTATCATTATCCTGATAGAACTGAAAATCATACCCAATGCCGTTTTTCTGGATTTTGCATCAAGTTTTTCTTTAATATATATATATTTAACTTATGATCCATTATTCCACTTATTACTTCAATATTTCACACACCAGATGTCGACATACATCCGCAAGTCATATCACTGCCACCACCATGTTTAACAGTAGTAACTGTATTGCGTTATTGCAGTTCCGTATTTTGCTTTCTATACACAATTACCTTGCCTTCGCATCCAATAATGTTGAATTTACTCTAACCAAAAAAATCACATTGTGCTAGAACATGTCTTTTACATGTCTTTGCAAATTGTAGCCATTTGATTCTATTGATTTTGTTTACACATGGTTTCTTTGTTAAGTTCTTCCTCTATAACCATTAATTTGAAGCAAATTCCGAATAGATTGTGGTGTGACCTCTTTTCCCAAATATTTCTAAATATTATTACAAAAACTTATGGCATTTGCTTTAGAATTTTTTTAAACTAAATACCGCTCATCCGCTTTGGAAAGTACTTTAAACCGACCGGATTTTTGATGGTTTTCGACCGATTTTGTTTATTTTCATTTTTTATAATATAATGAATGGTGGTTCTTAGACTATTTGCTATTTCACCAAATTTTTTTTACTTAATCCATTTCTATAATGTTTAATGTGCAGCTTAATGCATAAATGACGAATGCTTTTTTTGCTTTATTTTTGGTGTTTCGCAAAATAATTGCTATTTTTGTTATTTTATTGTTAAATCTTTGGAATAAACACAATTATAACAAATAAACAGAATACAAACGATGAAAACTGTATTATTTTTTTTAATTTTTTTGTTTCGTTTTGTTATTACATTTTATAAAAATTTAGTTAATGACGAATTCTTTTTTCGACCGCTGTATGTATGTATTTAAATGTTAATTTCATTGCAATGGACTTTAGTGACTGTTTTAATTCCATTTAATAAAAAAAACGACGTATATGTTTGCCCTAAAAGGCTATTTACTGTTAGATTAAAAGATTTGTAATTTATTTTGTCTAATTCTCAGTTATTTTGGTCTAATTTTATGATACAAATATAAAATACTTTTATTTAATCATTTTAAACGTAGGACATATTCAGAAGTATCTGAAAAATATGTTTTTAATATACGTGATAGACGTATTTATTTTTATTTTTCATTTGTACTCATTTTGATAACAAAAACCAAATTCTTATATATAAGATAAAAATGGTGTTGAAAATTTATCTTTGATATTAATATTGTATACCTAATAGTAATAAACAAAAACAGATGATTAAATAAAACTGTACTTCATTTATATTCTTAAAATCAGAATAGCTTAGAAAAACAAACTATTTAATGAAATAAACTGATTAAATTTTATGAACGCTTTGTTAATTTCATAAATAAATATGGCGTTTTAAAATTTGTTTTTTACAATTCGGCAATTTACCAAAAATCATTAAAAACGAATATCTGCATATTCCAAAACACCAACCAATAATAAGTTTATTTTAATAAAAAAAACTGTTCATTTTCATAATTAGAACTAATAAATAGCATTTCATGCCTGCATTTAACGACAGCACTATATTAATTAAAATAAACAAAACGTACACAAATACCTCGTTAAGTCTAAAAAAAAGTGACGTAATTTCGTGTATTTATAGAAACATTTCCAAACAAGTGCACACAAACAAACCATACAAAAAACATTGTTTTTATACCTTCCTTCGATACCTTCTTTCTGCCTAATGTACTAAATCTATCCCAGAAACTCTCTTCTTTTTCCACCGCCTTTATAGTAGGACCATGGTATGGAGATTTCGAACGATTCGTTCCAGCCATGACTCAAGTCAACAAATAATTTATTGTCCCCACAGCAGCATATAATTAATCGTCAGGCACCCATACAAACCATAAATACACTTACCAGCATACTGTCATGCACTGTTTGACAGACGGCATTATGACGCGTGTCGATTTGTGTAACGGAACGTAAACATAATTAAGCAAAAAATACCATGTTTTTTGTATTAAACCACAGGAATTCCCTTGTACTGCATTCACACGATAGTTTCGTTTGTAATTTAAACACCAATTGGCAGGTAAGATTTTAAACTGACATCTGCAGGCCGATTCCACTAATCACTATCGCTAAATCTCCAATCTCTTCGCTTAAATTCTTAAATAAGAAATTCGCTTATTTTAGGAGGATTAGCGATTATGCGATTCGGCTAACAGAATCTCTTCGCTACATTTATCTGGCGATGCGGATAATGCTGAAATGCACTGAAATGTCAAATAAATACAAAAATTGTAAACAAATGTTAGCTTTTGGACTTATAATTTAAATTTCAAATTTAAAAGCACATACTTCAACAAAAAAATATTTAGCAATTGTGAAATTTAAATTAATATTCAATATAACATTGGTGTGTAAATTAATTAAATAATGAACTTTTTGATAAGAAGGAGATTTTTTTTTCTGGTGATGTGAGAGATTCACGAAATCATTTACGTTGGAAAAGAAAATGTTTGCGAAATTCCACAGACCTCTTTGCTGTATCTGATGAGCGTTTTATTGAAATATTTCGTCTTTCGAAATATTTATGTAAGCTTTTCATGGCGGAAATAACTCTGTCGACGGCACATAATAATTATAATGTGCAACATCGAAAGGCAAGAAATTGCATTGAGCGTTGTTTCGGATTATTAAAAAGTAGATTTCATTGCCTTAGCAGCGAAAGAACTTTAATGTATGATCCTGAAACAGCGGGCAAAAGTGTTAATTCATGTTTGGTGCTACATAACTTCATTATTAAACATAATATAATGAACGAAGTTAATGATGTTGACTGCGCAGAAAACACGGACGAAAAAATAAATGAAGATAATGACTTTGAAACACAAGAACCCGTCCCTGAAGCGTTTCTAGCAAGAGAGGAAATAATCAATAATTATTTTCAATATTAATTGGGTTTTATTTAATTGACTTTTTATTAAAACTTTAAATATATATTTATTTATATTGTTATTATTATTTTATTAATAATAAATTGTTATTATGACCAATATTCAACAGTTTTTTATTAATACTCTGGCCTTAGGTCGTTAATTTAACACATAAAAATTACACTTATAAATTTGTGTTAAATATTTAATTGTATTTTAGTTTTTATAAAAACTTATTTGTATTACAAATATTTGGGTCCATTTGAAGACCATCTTTAGTGTTCAATGAGGAAGAAAAACCTTAAAAATAAACAATTATTTCATTAATAAAAAAAGCGCAAATTTCCACATCACCCTTGAGGTATTGCACATAATGCGTTAACCACGAATTCCATCATAAATATCTGAAAATTAAATAATAAATAAAATATATTAAATATTATATGTATAAATATGTATATAATTATTCATTTTGTTCACTGTTTCACTTGCAATTCATTTATTTTAGGTACAATTTCAAAAATGAAATATGAAAAATATAATACATTTGTTTACATTTGCTGAACACCAAACGCACTCTCACTATATTACTGCCACAAAATTTTTGTAATATTAATTTTTTTTTTTCATTTTACTTTAAATGCAAAATTTATTTCTATCACAATAACTTAATTAATAAATAAATATGAATATTATACTAAATACGTACAAAATAATTGCTTAATTTGTTTAAAAAATAATATTTTCACTTTAAGCGACAGCAAAAACCTAGTCGCCTAAAACAATCAAATTAGAAGAAATTTTAGTCGTTTTTAACGACATTTACAGATTGCCAATTTAGCAGAATACGAAATTTGGGGATTTAGCGATTTTCCGGAGAAATCAGCTGTTTTTGAAAGTTGAGAAAATTAGCGAATAGAAATTAAGCGTAATGAGTTAGAAGAATCGCAAAAGTCGCTAAAATTCTTTAAATGCATTTTAGTGACTTTAGCGATAGCGATTAGTAGAATTGGCCTGCTGGAGTCAAAAAGTAAAAATATTAATTTACACGGCAAATTATTATAATTTGATTGTCAGAAAAGATTGTCATATAGAAATTTCAGTTGTTAAAATTTCAAAAACGCCGAACTTTGCAAATATTTTGATTATAGTGCAAAAAATAAATAATTTAAATAAACTATTTAATTTTTAATACTGAAATCATTACAGAAAAAAAAAAATAAAGGTGCAACAAAAGAATTTTTAAATAAAATGAAAATTTCATTACTAAGATGTGAGAAGCACTTAGAACATATTAATAAAATGCAACACGAGTACCCAAATAATGTAATACTAAAGTGTTTGACAAGTTTAAGTACAACTGTAGCTAAACATATGAGACGTGATTGCTATTATATTTTGGTTCGTTATTGAAATTTTTTTTTTTTGTAAATATTTAGTGTTATAACTCATTTTGTAATTTTTCTGCACGTTCATCTAAACGGCGTAAAAGATTGTTTTTTCTTTTAGTTTCATAATTTTTTCATTATATTCTTTTATATTCGTTATAACATCCAAAATTTCCTCTTCATATGATCTGTTTTTTTAGCTTTTTATACTGGAACAGTACGCATACGATGGTGACAATGGTACACGATGGTATGCTGGAAGTGATGGTGTAGATGACGGCTATTGAATATTAAGAGCTTTTAATAAAATAATATGTCAAATAGTTTTTATATTTGTTACTGGGCTTAGCTCGTTCATTTAACAAATAAATTCATGAAAATGTTTTTTAAATAAAATAAAAAATTACACTTTTGTTAAACTGTGTTAAATATTTAGTTATATTTTATTTTTCATACAAAATAATTTATATTACAAATATTTTGGTCTACTTCTTCCTATCTTCAGTGTATAAGATACTAAACAAAGAAAGAAAATAAATATTGAAATACATGTAAATAAACATATAAACATATATCCCATACAAAAAACCAAAAATGACAAATATTGTCGTCTCTCTCAATGTCGTCTCAGAACAAGTTTAAAACGCTAAACGACCACAATCAAAATGGAAAAGAAATAAGGCGATGTTTAATTCGAATTTTAAGCAAGTTTTATTTTAACTTATGAACTAAAAATAAAAACAACAAAAAATTTTTACTTATATAATTTTATATAATTATATTTTAAATAATTAAAAAATTTATATTGTGTTATATTATATTAGGGTACTATATAATATTAAGGTTTTATTTTTCGTTTTCATCAAGTGCGTGCGCAAAAAAATTCACTCTGTTACTTTCAAACAAAAAGGGTAATGATAATCTTATTAAAAAGAATCGAGACATTGAATCTAAAACAAAACTTAAAACAAAAAATAATAGTTTCCGAATATTAAATAAATAAATAATAAGTTATTATATTCATTTCTTTTAGTAAAAAAATAAATTTTTGCTTTGTTTTTTGAATTTATTTACCTCTTAAACAAATACATTTGAAAACAGCTGGTAGAGGCAGCAAATGAAACATAAAAGCTCAAAATAATTTATATTAAGTGTTGTAAAAGGACAGAACACTAAACTAATCACAGCTCACGAATTTGTGTTTTTGTGTAATTGTGTAGTTAAGGAATAACCTTAT